AGCTTTACCGGGTTTGCCTCGTTTAGAGTGGAGAGGGACTCCTGGTCATTCTACCCGTAGTGTTATCTCTTATGTGAAGGCTCGGCGTATGGTCGAGAAGGGGTGTTTGACCCATTTGGAATATGTTCATGATTCTAGTACTGAGGTTCCTTCTATTGATTCTGTGCCCGTTGTTCGTGAGTTTCCTGAGGTATTCCCGTCAAACCTGCCGGGTATGCCACCCGATAGGGATATTGAGTTTTGCATTGATTTGGCTTCGGGCACTCAGCCCATTTCTATCCCATCGTATCGTATGGCCCCGCCGGAGTTGAAAGAGTTGAGGGAGCAGTTGCAAGACTTGCTTGAGAAGGGTTTCATTAGACCTAGTGTTTCGCCTTGGGGTGCGCCGGTGTTGTTTGTTAAAAAGAAGGATGGGTCGATTGGAATGTGTATTGATTACCGACAGTTGAACACGGTTACAATCAAGAATAAGTATCCAATACCGAGGATTGATGATTTGTTTGATCAACTTCAGGATGCCAAGGTATTTTCGAAGATTGACTTGAGATCTGGCTACTATCAGTTGAGGATTAGGGTATCTGATGTCCCTAAGACAACTTTCCACACTCGGTAGGGGCATTATGAGTTCTTATTTATGTCTTTCGGGTTGACAAATGCCCCAGCAGCTTTTATGGATTTGATGAACCGAGTGTTCAGGCCTTATTCAGACTCGTTCTTGATAGTCTTCATTGATGATATTTTGATATATTCCCACAGCCGGGAGGAGCACGAGAAGCATCTTAGAGTGGTTCTTTAGACCTTGAGAGATAGTCAGTTATATGTTAAGTTCTCAAAGTGTGAGTTCTGGTTGAGTTCAGTTGCATTTCTGTGTCATGTTGTATCGGCAGAGGGTATTCAGGTTGATCCGAAGAAGATTGAGGCAATCAAAAACTGGCCTAGACCAGCATCACCTACAGAGATTCAGAGTGTCTTGGGATTGACAAGCTACTATCGTCGGTTCATGGATGGGTTTTCATCTATCGTAGCCCCGATGGCCAGGTTGACCCAGAAGGGTGCCCAGTTCAGATGGTCGGACGAATGTGAGGTGAGCTTTCAGAAGCTCAAGACAGCCTTGACTATGGCACCGCTGTTGGTTTTGCCCATAGGTTCAGGGCCTTATACAGTCTATTATGATGCATCTCTTATTGGACTTGGTGCAGTGTTGATGCAGGATGGCAAGGTCATTGCCTATGCTTCGCGGCAGTTGAAAATTCATGAGAAGAACTATCCGGCTCATGATTCAGAGTTGGCAGCCATTGTTCACGCATTAAAGATTTAGAGGCATTATCTGTATAGTGTGGCATGTGAGGTGTTCACGGATCACAAAAGTCTTCAGTATTTGTTCAAGCAAAAGGAGTTAAATTTGAGACAGGGGAGGTGGTTGGAGTTGTTGAAAGATTATGATATCACTATCTTATATCATCCGGGGAAGGCCAATATGGTGGCCGATGCTTTGAGTAGGAAGTCAGCCAGTATGGGTAGTCTTGCTTATATTCTGGTCGGTGAGTGACCGCTTGCTTTGGATGATAATCCCCATTTGTGTGTCCTCAGAGACATTGTGCAGCATGGAGGTGCCAAGCAAGTTATCTTAGGTGATGATGGAGTTTTGAGATTGCAGGGTCGAGTTTGTGTGCCTAATGTGGATGGACTCCGAGAGTTGATTTATTCAGGATTTACGGCAGCATTATTGATGGAGGAGGATGAAGAAGGATATCGTTGCATATGTGGATCAGTGTTTGAATTGTCAACAACTTAAGTACAAGCATCAGAGGCCTGTTGGTTTGTTCCAGAAGATTGAGATTCCTGAGTGGAAGTGGGAGCGGATCACTATGGACTTCGTTGTTTGACTCCCACAGACTTAGAGGAAGTTCATTGCAGTGTGGGTTATTGTTGATAGGCTGACCAAGTCAGCGCATTTCATTCCTGTGGTACTTTCATATTCATCTGAGAGGTTAGCTAAGATCTATATCTAGGAGATTGTTCATCTTCATGGTGTGCCAGTGTCTATCATTTTGGACCGAGGTACGCAGTTTACCTCGTGTTTCTAGAGAGCAGTTCAACGAGAGTTGGGCACGCGGGTTGAGTTGAGCACAGTATTTCATCCTCAGACGGACGGGCAATTCGAGCGGACTATTCAGAATTTGGAGGATATGCTCCGAGCTTGTGTCATTGACTTTGGAGGCTCGTGGGATCAGTTTTTGCCTTTAGCAGAGTTTGCCTACGACAACAGCTACTAGTCGAGTATCCAGATGGATCATTATAAGGCTTTATATGGTAGGCGGTGTCGGTCTCCGATTGGATGGTTTGAGCCGGGAGAGGCTCGGTTGTTGGGTACGGATCTGATTCAGGATGTCTTGGACAAGGTCAGGATTATTCAGGATAGGCTTTGTACAGCTCCGTCCAGGCAAAAGAGTTATGCCGACCGCAAGGTTCGAGATTTGGCTTTCATGGTCGGTGAGCAGGTATTGCTCCGAGTGTTGCCTATGAAGGGCGTGATGAGATTTGGGAAGAGCAAGCTTAGCCCTAGGTTTACTGTTCCGTTTGAGATTCTTGATCGAGTGGGAGAGGTCGCTTATAGACTTGCATTGTCGCCGACCTTATCAGCCATGCAACCAGTGTTTCATGTTTCCATGCTTTGGATGTATCACGGCGATCCATCACACGTGTTAGATTTCAGCACTGTCCAGTTGGACTAGGACTTGTCTTATGAGGAGGAGTCGGTCGCTATCCTAGATCGGCAGGTTCGTAAGTTGAGGTCGAAGAGTTTTCCTTTTGTTTGTGTTCAGCGGAGAGGTCAGCCTCCTGAGGCATCGACATGGAAGTCCGAGTCCGATATGCGGAGCCGTTATCCCCATCTTTTTCCCGACTCAGGTACTTCCTTCTTATGTCCGTTCGAGGACGAACGGTTGTTTTAGAGGTGGAGAATGTGATGACCTTTGGGTCATTACTTGCTCTTAAATTGAATTCTGTGTTCTGATGCCTTGAAAACCTCATTTAGCATAACCTCGATTTGTGTGCACAGTCCAGGCGCGTAGCCGAAAAGCCTAAATATGGAAATCTATGAAAAATAATAAGTTTTGATTATAAAATGAGCTAATTTGACTTCGGTCAATATTTTGGGTAAACTGACCCAGGCCTGTGATTTGATTGTTTTGGAGGGTCCGTAGGAAAATATAGGCCTTGGGCGTATGCCCGGAATCGAATTCCGAGGTCCCAATCCCGAGAAATGAATTTTTAAAGAAAATTGTTTTCTGAAATTGTTTAAAGGAATTTGAAATGACATTGGATTAGAACATGATGGTATCGGGCATGTATTTTGGTTTCAACACCCGGTACAGGTCTTATATATGATTTAAGATAATTTTGTGGGATTTGGTGAAAAACGGATGTCATTTGACGTGATTCGGACTTAAATTGCAAAATTTGATGTTTTAAGAAGTTTGAAATAATTCATTGATTTTGAGGTTTAATTCAATGTTAATGATGTTAATATGGCGATTTGATCGTACGGATAAGTTCATATGTTGTTTCGAGTTAGTACGTATGTTTGGTTTGGAGCCCCGAGGGCTCGGGTAAGTTTCAGATGTGTTTCGGAAGGTTTTAAACTCTTAGAAAGTTGCAGGTTTTCGGCTGTTGGTATTCTGATATTTCCTTCTTCGTGTTCGCGGGAGGACCCTCGCGAACGCGATGTGTTAATTATGCTGAAGGAAATTCCTTCTATGCGAACGCGTAACCTAGGTCGCGAACGCGAGGCGTTGGGGGGTCTTCCCTTCGCGAATGCAGGCCTGGTAATGCAAACGCGAAGTCTAATTGCGCTTGGGAAAGGGGTGGGGCATTTAACCTACGAGAACGCGACCACCTGGACGCGAACGTGAAGGCTCGAGGGGTTATTTCTTCACGAACACGAGCCGTATTCCTCGGATGCGAAGGCCTAGCAGGCCTAACCCATTGCGAACGCGATAAGTAATTTCGCCCAGTTATTTTAAGTTCCAAGAAATAGAACACATTATGGGATTTTTATTATTTGTCACAAACTTCATCTTCTCCACACCTCTTGGGCGATTTTTGAAGAAATTCTTCACCATAACATCTTGGGTGAGTAATATTTAACTTATTTTCTTCCATTTTTATCAACACCCACTAGATTTCTAGGCCTAAAACATGCGATTAAGGGTAGAAAATTAGGGATTTGGGTAGAGTTAGGGCTTTTTGATTATTCAGGAATTTGACCTTGTTTTGGGGTCGGATTTGAAAACAAATTATATATTCGGACTCGTGGGTGAATGGGTGATCGGGTTTTGGTCTGAACCTCCTGTTTTGACCAAGCGGGCCCGGGGTCAATTTTTGACTTTTTGGGAAGAATGATTAGAAAGCTATAATTAAGCATTGGAATTGAATTGTTTAGCGTTTATTGATGTTATGAAGTTGATTATGTATAGATACAATTGATTTGGAGCCGAATTCGAAAGGGAAGGTGGTGTTTGAGGCTTGAGTTGGCTGTGAAAGTTCGAGGTAAGTGTTTGGTCTAACCTTAGCTTAAGGGATTAGAAGTGGTATCCTATTTGCTATTTGCTTCTTGTTGAGTACGACGTATAGGCATAGTGACGAGTATCTATACGTTGGTGTCAAGCAAGACCATGAGTTTTATATTGTGATTTTCATGATTTCGTTGTATTATTCATGCCTTGGTGAAGATTTCTATTTGTTGTGTAAAGTTGTGGAAGAATTGTGACCTATGAACATTGAAGCGCGTTGGCTCCAATTGTATAACGAATTGTGAAAGTATAAGTGTGCCACGACCCGGAATTTCCACCCTCGAGAGTCGTGATGGCGCCTACTAATATGAGCTAGGCAAGCCAACCCTTAACTATTTACTACCTTTTTATATTACTTCTTTTTAAAACAAACATAGGGCGACAATATAAATAAAACGAAAGTTAGGAAATAGGCGGAAGTCAACATTTATAAAGCTTAGAGCTACGTCTATTTTCACTTTTAAGCTTCAATACCCCAAAATCTGGTGTCACAATACTACAGACTGTCTAAGAGTCACTACATACAAAGTCTGAAGAAAATACATAGTGTTGTTCCTGAGAAAGAGATAAAGGAAACATGAAATAGAGATAGAGGGAGATGCTAGGGCCCGCGGGTGTCTGCAGGTCTACCTTGGGTCTCCGGATGGACTGAAAGAAGCCCTCCAACTACTGTCTGAAAGCTGCTCCAGGATCTGCACACAGTGCAGAGTGTAGTATCAGCACAATTGACCCCATGTGCTGGTAAGTGCCTGGACTAACCCCGGCGAAGTAGTGACGAGGCTAGGATCAGACTCTAGATAAACCTGTGCAGTTGTATAATATATGGCAGAAAAGTAAACAGGTAATAAGCAATTAAAGCTGGGGAAGGGAAACATGCCTCGGGGATAGCTGATAAAGCAAAATAGCAAGGAATAATTAAGGAAGCTTGTCATACCTCCTTTTACACACCTGAAGGTATATATAGAGAGATTTTCCAATATAAGTGACATTATTCAAAATGAGATTATTTATTTATCAGAGTCGCCACTTGGAATATTTTAATTGGTGTCCCAAGTCACCAGTTTATTTTTAATCCCAAATCGAGGAAAACTCGACTTTCCTTTTGAAGTCTGTGAACCAGAAATTCTGAATAAGGAATGTGTTAGGCACCCCCGGATTTCGTGGTTCTAGCACGGTCGCTTAAACTATTATAATTGGCCTATTATCTGATTTTTAGGAAGATTCAACGTTATTTAAAACACGCCTTGAACCACGCCACATGAAATGCACCTGCGGTCCTCGACACATTTTTATTTAATGTTGTTGAGATTTTGATTTGGGTCACATGAACTGCACACCCGAGTTTAAGGAAATTAATTTAATAGCGCGCCTAAAGCAACTACGCTCTTTTAAGTTTGCGAGGGCCATGAAAAATTCAACTAATGGCACATCTCGATTTCTAAAAAGTTAAAATTAATTAAGTGAGGGCCATGGGTTTTGGGATTTTATTTGACATGCCATGTCCCAATTTATTTTAAAAGTTTTGTACTCAATTAAAGCAATCTATGGATGTTCATGAATTAATTATTTTTCTAAATTTGAAGTCATTACAAGGAAATAGAAGACAAATAGTCTCACATTGACTACAACTGATCCTAAAATCGTTTCAATTATTCGCCATTGCATAATTCCTAAAATCAAATAAATATTCAATATTTAGTCAATCTTTTTAGAAGAGAAATGCTAAATAACTAATGATGATCATTAATATATTTTTTTTTGTTTCTAAGTCACTTATGATCTAACCATTAGCAAATTCGACAAAGGAACTCCATGCAAACAATAAATAAAAAAAACGTAGGTATTTTAAATATAAAATTAAAGCACAAAAAAAAAGAAGTTAAAGATGCATTTCAAGCATGAATCAATAATCTCATAAATTAAATAACCATCAACAATAAATCACTGAATTATCCATTAACATTTAACAACTCGAGTATCCAACTTAACATATTGGTAATTTCAGAGCTTAGCAAAAACGAAACCTCAAACCAATTTAACAATTACACATGCTACATTTATGATCTTGAATAGACTCAGAAAATGAACAAGTAGGATTTTTATTCATGATTCTTTAGAGGTTGGCAGAAATACATAAACTTACCTAGATTGCAACATTTGATCTAAAACAGTCAAGTAAAGGCGAAGGAAAGCTGGGGCTTAGCAATGAAGCAGACAACAACCAATCAGCCCAGGAAAGCTCAGAGTACGACCTTCCATGGACTCGGAACTCGCCGGAAAATTCAAATTACACCAAAACTCGTCGAAACTCGGATCTCTTGCTTTTCATTTCATCTCGTTTTTTAGCCTTTATGCTATGTATTCTTTCTCTATCTTTTTTTGTGTTTTCTGATCTTTGCAGTAAAGAAAAGAAACTGAAGAAGCTGGCTCTTTGTTTTGCTTGAAAAGAAACGAAAATGGTGGAAAAGTGGGGAGCAGTGGTTGAGTATTCAAGGTTGAAGATGATAGTGAAGAAGGAAAATGGGAGCTTCTCTGAGATGCGCCATTTGCTGGATTTCTCAAGGGTAGGGATCTGATCGTGTTCTTCTCTTTATGTCTCCTATATCTAGGTTTTTTAAAGGGTAAGGGGTTTGGGTAGGCTAGAGCGATAGGCTTGGGCTAAAGTTGGACTTGGGTTAATTGAATGGAGTCAATCTTAAGGATTGACCCAATTTTGAATAAACAAGACCAAATATTTTTTTTTCTATTTTCTTCTATTATTATTCTTTTTCTTTTATTTAATTAATTAAAAACCTAAATTAAACTATTTTTTGTAGAGATTAAAATTCTTTAAATATGTAAAAATGACAATTTTATGATTTTAAAATATTAAAAATGCATGAAATGCAACTAAATAAAGAAAAATTCATAAAAATCAATAAAAATTATTTTTGGTCTACTTTTAGGAGTTATCTTCATGTAGGGCAAAAATCATGTGCTCACAGCTGCCCCTCTTTCCTCGGGAACATGAAGGATTTTCGGACAAAGATAAAATGAGCAATTATGAGCTATTTTTGCCCGTTTGGGAGACTCCATGAGAAGCATTTTTTGGAAAAATCTGACCGAACCTTGCTTCAGAGGTTGCCTACATATCCTTGGCTATAAAGGAATCAGGTCAGTGTAGTTCTAGAAGTTTTGGTAGCTGGGACTACCGAGAAGCTGTTATTTCACTGTTGTTGTTGCAGTTTCTGCTTGCTGAGCTCCTTATTACACCAAAAGGGAAAGTAAAAAGCTAAACTAGCTAAGCCTATCAACTACGAGTTACAAGATTCCTATCTATAAATCTCTTGAAGCTTGATCTTGAGTCTTAGCTGGTTCTTGATGTGGACTTCCATCTGAATCTTGATGCTCGTTAGCTGTAGGTGTTGGTTCTTTCTTCAGCTTTGGGTCAAGAGGGGACATGCGAAACTTGTGACTTCAATCATATCTTGAGCAGTCCACATCTTTCTCCGCTTCAACATTTTAAATTCACTTCTTTTGTTTTTTTTCTTCTTTTCTTTATTCTGGATTGAGACTCGTTCTTTCGGTCATCTCGAATCCTGTGCCTCGAGGTCAAACCTGCTCAGATGCCAAAACAAACAAACAAATGAAATTTTTCTGCCCCAATTTTTACTAGGAAAATTTCGTGAGTTATTTGTGACAAAATTCTAAACTATTCCTCCCTTTTTTTGTTTTTTTTTGTTTTTTTAAAGCAAATGAAATAAGGTTTGCATCTATCTAGAAAGGAAAAAATCAGGGGATGGAGCCCTATATCTAAAATGTCAACTCAGGGATTGGAGCCCTAATGTTGGCGAAAAAGCGACTAGGGAATGGAGGCCATATATCTAAAAAGGCTCAACTCAGGGATTGGAGCCCTAATGTTGGCGAAAAGGCGACTAGGGAATGGAGGCCCTATGTCTAAAAGGCTCAACTCAGGGATTGGAGCCCTAATGTTGGCAAAAAGGCGACTAGGGAATGGAGGCCCTATGTCTAAAAGGCTCAACT